ATCTATAACGCCTATGTATGGCTACGCTCTGACACCATCGTAGCTAGCCCTGGTGGTACAAACTTTACGCGAGTGCCCGAAATACTCACGGCCGGCGCTGTCGCTGCCATTCCTGTCCAGAAATCCTTCTACGAAAATGCCCGTAGTACTCACGGTCGGCATTAACGGAGGTAATACTGGTGGTCACAAATATTGTCACAGGCCCGGAATACTCGCTGACGGCACTGTCGCAGCTAGTTCTGACCAGCGAAACCTACTACGAAAATGCCCGGAATACTCACGGACAGCAAAATCGGAGGTAACACTGGCAGCCCTAACTAATGTGCAAATGCCCGAAATTCTCGCAGACGGCACAGTCGCGGCTAATTCTGGCAAGCAAAACCTACTTCGAAAATGCCCGGAATACTCACAGATAGCAAAATCGGAGGTAATACTGCCAGCCCTAACTAATGCGCAAATGCCCGGAATACTCGCAGACGGCACTGTCGCGGCTATTTCTGGCAAGCAACTCCTACTACGAAAATGCCCGGAATACTCGCAGACAGCAAAATCGGAGGTATTACGGCCAGCCCTAACTACTGCGCAAATGCCCGGAATACTCGCAGACGGCACTGTCGCGGCTATTTCTGGCAAGCAACTCCTACTACGAAAATGCCCGGAATACTCGCAGACGGCAAAATCGGATTTCTTACGGCCAGCCCTAACTACTGCGCAACTGCCCGGAATACTCATAGACGGCACGATCGAGGCTTGTCACTTGCACAAATAATTCTAACACTTTGATTCCGAGTTACTTTTATTTTCTGGACTTTTCCTTTCTAATCCCTATCTGTCTCTGTCGCACTCTTTATGCTCACCCTGCTTGCCGAAGCCAGTGTTTCTGTGTCTCGTCGGTTGGTTGCTTCCACTTCCTGGCCACGCGTCGGTTGAATCTTGGACTTGGTTTCTTTTCTCCGTCGTTTTCTCCGCTTTTCCAAAACTCCGAACTTCTCTCGCCGCGCACAAAAATTCAAGTCCCGGAAGTCAGTGTGGCTGTTGGTCTCGTTCCCAAGAAACCTCCCCTGTGGGATTTTATCGGGGATTTCTTCTTGGTATTTTCCATGGCGTGATCGTGGTTGGTGTCATGGCTTCGGCGGGAAATTCAACTATTCTCCTGACTTATTCGATAGTTTTGGGTTGCCACTTAGGGCTAACTTAAATTATTTAACTTCAGGTTTTTGTCTCTTAAAAACTACAGCAGTATATAGACTTAAAAACTATTGATTGTGAACTTAAACTATTTACTTAATCCTAACTATGTACATAATTATAAGAGAATGTGAAAATGTGAGTGCAAAAAAAATGTGTCTTCACAGGGTATAAAAACTTACCTTTTTCTACTTCGACACACGTTTACTTCCTATTGTTCTATAATTTTGATTTTAATTTTTACCGATTATTATTGTTTTATAGGTCCAGAAATTAATATGAAAAATTTTTTTACATATCACGGTGAAGATTCTGTGTCTGAGGTACAACTTAAAAACTTGGGGGTGTACTCCATTAAGATGGTTTTGATTTCATATACCAGACCGACAATTCAGGCGCGGTTAAATACTAGCGCTACGTATAGAAATAGGATATTGAAATACTGCCTGTTTTTGAAAGCCGTGCAAATTTCAAATATTAGGCAATTAACCTGGCTTCTTACCCCCTGCCATTGTATATTCGCAATCAAAACATGCACAGGGATCTTGGCATTCTTGCAGTAAAGAATGAAATAAAAAAAAGTGTCCTACAGGGAAAAACCCTCTGCCTATAGAACGGGACTTGATTCGGGTTTCCAGCAGAAACCGTCTAATACGTAATGACAATTAGTCAGGGTCATTTACTCTGTACCATATGACTGCTAGTTAGTAATTATTGTAAGATTTGATACACTTATTGTCTCGCAAAGTAAAAATACTATATATACCTATAAATGTTAGACTGTGTAGAAGAAGTAGAATAGAGAAGAAGAAACATATAGATGTATTTCAGCAGAACGCGAAAAGATATTGTTTAGAGCAAGCCATAAATATTGGAGCGGATGAGATGCTTACTGCAGTTTATGCTCTAAAGTGGTGTTCTTAAAAATGGACACTAATTGCACTTTAAAGTTTGTGGCGGTTCGTATCCAGGTTAACGATTTTTATATCTATGTTTCATGATCGTATATTCCATCCAGGTCCGACACTGATATATATACAGCATTTATCCTTTATTCAAGATATTCATAATTCCCTCCATTTTTTGGATACCCTTACCTAGTTCTAATGTTTTTATTCCCACCTCAACAAACGTCATCTCATCTTTGTCTCTGACTTTGCAAAGCCTACGTCTGACTTCAACTCAACAGATGATCTCTTAAACATCGTTAAGCGTTTCTATGACACTATGCTTTTAACATGTATGTCCCTTCATTTCCCTAATACTATTATGACATTAGCGCATTAACTAGAGAGTTCAGTAAAGATTTGACACAAGTGCGAGCAAGATGACTATATGGCACTTTAATGCATTAGAATAATTCATTAGCTAATTAATTGCCGCGAAAATCGATAGATCTACATAAAATACACTATAACCAGATTTGGACCGATTGAAAATTGAAAAGTGTATTAGCCAGTCATTAGAGGGCGAGACTCAAAGCAGTCTTGAAATGACAATTTTATTATACCCTTGCAGGGTATTATAATTTCAGGCAGAAGTTTGCAACGCAGTAAAGGAGACCTTTCCGACCCTACAACAGCCGAGTCAATCTAGCCATGTCCGTCTTTCCGTCCGTCCGTCTGTCTGTTTCTACGCAAACTAGTCCCTCAGTTTTAAAGCTATCCGAATGAAACTTTGCATATAGTCTTCTATATACTCTCACTGCTATATATGTCGGAACGGGCCGGATCGAACGACTATATCATAGAGCTGCCATACAAATGTTCGATAAATTTTTAGAAAAAAATTATAACTTGGCTGTTTTTCAACATTTTTGCATCATTTTTGAGATAAGGCCATTTTATAATATTTCAGAATTTCGGATTTAATTTTATGAAAATCGGACGACAATAACTTAATGCTGCCATAGAACAGATCGAGAAATTAATAGAAAAAAATTTTTAACTTCGTTGTTTTTCAACGTATTTTTATCTACTCTGAGATATGAGTTTTTGTTATTATTTTAGAGTTTTTGTATACATTTTATGGAAATCGGAAAACCATAGAGGCGATCGATAGATGTAAAGAAAATGTAAAGCTGGGAACTGCTGGTTTCTGAACTGAAAAAAATATAAGAAGATTAGAAAAAAAAGGTTTTCGGTGGAATTTAAATAAATTTTTGTGGTAATAATTAAGCTAAGTTTTAGTCATTATAGGTAAAAAAGCTAAAATTGTAAGGTTTTCGAATTCATTTATGCATGAAAACTTCGACAAGGAATTCAGAAATTCAAAGTTATACTCCGCTAATGGCAGCCGTTTTTATTGTTTACCTTTTTTCGATCGGTGTGACCGTAGTCGTGTTACCCAAGCAATCCTAGAAAACAAAATAACACATATACATACATAGTTGTCTCTATCAAGGTCCTAATAAAGTATCTGATTAATGAAAACTGCATTAGAGTGCGTAATCCCAATACCAAATGTTGCCCATAAGCTCCTCCCTTGGAGAATTAGGATTAGAAATTCCGACTTTTTAAGAAGTAAAGTAAAACTGGTTTCTAAGTCGACCATTTGAGATATTTAGGCGCTCGTTCATATTCAAATTTCAGTCATCACTTCAGCATTCGTTTGTCCCTTTCACAAAAAAGGCAGTTAATCTAATATTGAACACTATAGAATAGAATTATTCAAATTTTTAATTACTACTCAGCTTCAGCACCAATGTACCTCAATAATGTGCCCCTCCCAGCACGGCTTTATAAAACTGAGATCAACGTCTACAAATCTCCTCGAGTTTGTTGGTTTCATCAGAAACGCGTTTAAAAATAACACCCAAACCAAAGACATTCCAATTCTTAAAGATACGTAACGCCCATTCGTTTTGCAATATGAAACTTCATTTTTGATGGCAACGACAATCACGCTTTACCGCTCTCACAAAGTTGAGAGCGTAAAAATCCAAAAATAGAATGCGCTTGATTGTATGAGTAAACCAAGAACACGCAAGCGCGTATGTGTGCGTAAATATTTAATTTTTATATTTTGTGCTGCTGATCTCAAATATAGATTTTATTTGTATAAAAGTGCATATCAATGGCGCTTGTTTGTTTTGATTTCAGTTTGCTTACATTTTCTATTGTTTGAATGCCTTCATATTTCATTTTTTATGTAATACAATTGTTTATAAATGAATCCGCCCTAGTGTATACTGTTTAATATAATTTTATTTATTTCCGAACAATTACATTTAAGGGGGTTTCCTGAATTAGGAGGCAAAAAAAATCGATTTTTTTTTTATTACTTAAATCGATAGATAAACTATCTAAGAATATACCACAAAAATTTCAGAAGTCAATTCGAAGTATTTTCGAAGATACAGAGATGAAAGCAAAGGAGCGCCGGGTAGGTTTGCAGGCGCTTGGCGAACTTTGAGGCCCGTTTTCTCACTTTTAATTTTTACGATTCTTTCGAATTGGCGGGAAAGATAACAAAAAAAACTTATTGACCGATTGAAACGAATAAAGGCTTATTCTCTTTAGAATTAAATTCTCTTCTATTTGAACTAAAACGGTTGTTGAAAACCGCTTTTTATATTTTTTACAGCATGTTAAAGTCAATATTTCATTTTTCGGGATAAACGGGTGAAACGTGAAAATGTCGAACTAGGAGTCCAGCTAGTGGTGAATCCTTTGGTATTAGGATTGGATGCTTGGCGTTGAAGTTGAGTGTAGAGTTGTCGATTCTTCCACCGACTCGCATAATTCCATGATCGTCCAGAAATGGGGAGAACCGAATTAAATGCGATTTAGCATTAAGCGGGCGTCGATTCTCTAGCTGCGCATATTCTCTGGCAAAGAAATTTTTTGCACGTGTCGGATGAGTCGGCATCGTGCGGCCTGCAACTCTTCGGATGTAAGGAATGGTGCCGGATTCCTATGACGAGATCGAAGAGTGTGAATAAAGCGATAACAGTAGCTAGATACCCTTAGCAGACGCGTCCAGGTTGAGAATTTGTGGATGAGTAACTCGTAGATATTTTCATATGGAAAGTTATGTAGAGTTGTGGGCTTGACAGATCCCTCTTCGGTGTTGACATCGAGATTTGAAGATACGCTGAACTTGCTTGTAGACGGTGGCCAATCAGAGGGCGGTGTGGCCAGCCATGATGGACCCTTCCACCACAGTCGATGCTCCAGAAGCTTGGACGGATGAAGTCCTCGAGAAGCACAGTCGGCAGGGTTGTCCTCTGTGCGAACATGATTCCAGCAGCTGCGAGGAAAGTCGTTCAGGATCTCAGCCGTTCGGTTGCAGACGTATGTGTTCCAGTTTCGTGGGGGAGCTGAAAGCCAGTGTAGCACAATTTCTGAATCTGTCCAGCAGCTCGTGCTGAAAATAGGAATCGTTAGTGAGGCTTTGACAATCGAGAGCAATCGAGAAAGAAGTAAAGCAGCATTCAGTTCCAGACGTGGGATCGAAACAGGCTTGATCGGGGCTACACGGGTTTTGGCAGCAACTAGGGTGATTTGAAAACTGCCTCCATATGCTACTCGAGCGTATACAACCGCACCGTAGGCTTGCGCGGATGCGTCGGCGAATCCGTGTAGTTGAACGTCTTGGAATGGTGACGCAATGTATCGTGGTACTTGACATTGCGTAAGTGTCGGCAAGTCCTCCACCAAGGCCTTCCAGCGCGAGCGTAGAGTTTCAGGAATCGGGTCATCCCATTGCAGAACACTTGTCCAGCTTTCTTGGAAGATGAGCTTGAGTAGAACTGTGACTGGCGCTACCAATCCAAGCGGGTCATAGATTCTTGATAGCTGCGACAAGAGTTCCCTTTTCGTCGGAGAAATGGTCGGATCGCACTCCTTGATATTGAGGTACATGACGTCCTTTCCGGGATTCCATTGGATGCCAAGAATTTTGATTGGTGAATCCGCAGCTGATTTGTCGAGGAGCTGGATAGGCTCATAGCATCGGTCCTCTTCTGGCAATGATTTTAGAAGACGCCAACTGTTGGAACTCCATTTTCGTAGTTTGAATTGCGCCTTATCCAACAGTTGAATCAGCTCGTTTTTAAGAATCATGAGCTCTTCGAATGAGTTGCACCCCGTTGGGATGTCATCTACATAAGCGTCGTGTAGAAGCGCGTGGGCTGCTGCGAGGAACTCGTGGCGGTGATCCTCAGCTAGTTGCTTAAGAACTCGAACAGCCAGAAATGGTGACGGCGCCAATCCGTAGGTGACCGTCAACAGGCGAAAATGAAGCAGTGGTTCATTCTCGTTCTTGCGCCAAACAATGCGCTGATAATTGGTGTGCGGCTTGAAGACTTGAATTCCTCGGAACATCTTCTCGATATCCGCGCAGAAAACATATGGGTGCTGCCGGAAACGTAAACAAACGCCGAGAAGATCTCGTTGAATGGGTGGGCCAATTTGAAGTCGATCATTGAGAGACACTCCAGAGCTGTCCTTTCCCGATCCATCGAAAACTACGCGACATTTCGTAGTCAGACTGTCCAGTTTGATGACAGCGTGGTGCGGCAGATAGAAGCAGGTTTCTGGGGACTCATCCATTTGAGCCGATGTCAGCTGTTCCATATGACCACGTCGCAAGTAGTCGTCCAGAAATGCTTCGTACTGCTGCTTCAAGTCTGGAGATCGACGAAACTTGCGTTCCAGCGAGTGGAAGCGATTGATGGCCTGCGGTAAAGTTGAATCAACAGGCGGCGCATGCTCCTTGAAGGGGTAAACCCCGTTCTCCAAGCGCGTGTGGGTGGCAGCAAAATGACGCTCTCTTGGATCGTTGGCGTCCAAAAGAGCCTGGCTAGGATGTATATTATCCATCTCCATGAAAGAGCGAACCATCGTGTCGAGGTCCGTGTGATGAGTAACGGCTGAAGTCAGGTGATCATCGCATGCATTGTAAGAGCCTGCAATAATCCAACCAAAAACAGTATTCAGAGCGATAGGAGAGTCGTTACCAAAGCATTTCTGTTCTCCAGTATAAAGAGACCAGAGTTGATCTGATCCAACGATGACATCGATGGATCCTGGCGTGCAGAATGTGGGATCTGCCAAAGGAAGCTCGCAGATTTGCTTCCACGTAGAAGATGAGGTGTCAATAGCCTGGGCCAGGAGTGATGATGTCAGCGAATTGAGAATAAACGAGACCAGTTCGACAGTTTGGTCCGAATGACGAGAGCGCAGCTTGATATGTGCGCGTCCTCGGGTAACGCCAGCGCTGTTGGCTGCGAGACCGAGTACAGAAATCCGGGCGTGCGTTCGACGTACGCCTATTCGCTGGACAAATGATTCCGACGCCAAGGTGATTGTGGACCCAGTGTCCAAGAGCAGCCTGCAGGTTGTAGCATTTCCCCAGGCGTCGACGACGTCTGCAAGGATGGTTGGCAACAGAGTCTGCGAACCTGCAGCTGAAATATTCTCCAGCGTATGATGCGTGAAGTTATTTTCCGTGGGAGGTAAACTCCCTGATAGATGAATCTCTTGACCAGGCGGTTGATTCTGGCCGATCGTAGATGCCGCTTGTGAAGTTGATGGATGATCGCGGCTGTCCGTACGGGCTCTCTCCAAGTAGTTACCATTTTGAGTTGGCTGCGCCGAGCCAGGGTGAACCAGGGTGTGATGCTTGCGGCGACAAATCCGACAAGTATGTCTCGATGTACAGTTACCCGCCATGTGACTTGGGCTGAGGCAATTGAAACATAGCTTTTTCGTCTTGAGAAACTCCCGGCGAGCTGCGATGTCGAGTCCGTTGAACTGAGGACACTTGAACAGTTGATGAGTTTGCTGGCACGATGTGCATTTGGGTTCTTCTCGTCTAGGATGCGTATCTGCGTGGTGCGTTGTGGCTGCGCGTCGAGCTTGGGTTGGTCGAACTAAGTGAAAAGCCTCCAAAGTATCGCAGCAAGAGGTGAGAAATTTAAGAAATTGGTTGATGGTCACACCTTTTCCCTCGGAGTCTACGCACTGCGCCCAAGCTTGGCAAGTATCGGTATCCAATTTTGACAATAGGATGAAGATTAGCCAAGGATCCCTCTCTTCGCAGTCAAGGGCTCGCAAACCACGAATAACTTCGTCTGCGCCATCGGCCAGTTTCCGCACTGTGCTGAGATTTGTAGACGTAGCACTGGGAAGGGTCATGAAACTGTTGAGGAATGATCGGATAATTAGCGATTGTTTGTTATATCGCTGCTCAAGCCGATCCCATGCTTCCCGATAGTTCTCATTAGTCACAGGAATATGTTTGACTAAATTGAGCGCGTCTCCGGATAGATACGATTTGAGATAATGAAATCGTTGACAATCCGTTAGGCTCGAATTGGAAGCAATCGAGTCCGTAAACATATCCGAAAAATGTTTCCAGTCCTCAAAATTCCCGGCAAAGGTTGGGAGTTTGATTCGCTCGAACTGGAAATCCACATGGCTCCTCTGGAGCGCATCTGCTGGTTGCACAGTGGCCAAAATATTGTTCGACGTCTGATCACGCCGTAACTCCTCCAGAGTGTTGCTTAGAATGGCGTGTGTAGCGTAATGTTTCTCCTCATAGGCATCAAAATCTTCGTCCGGATTCTCCCAATCCGACTCCGATTGGAAGGCGTACAGCTCTTCCGAATGTCGCACAAACCGCAAATAATTGTCTTGAATTTGCGTCAGGCGCACCACAATTGTGTCCACTGATTGAATGTCATCCACAAATTTGAGGGCATTATTATGCGCGCGTGTGATTTGGCTTTTACAAAAGCCCCGTTGTTGAATCACACCCCGCATGGCGATCGCGAAAAGATAACGACTCTATACGATTTTGGAATCTATAGATCACCGTTGACAAAAACCTCAATTATTAAATTAATTGGCCGAAAATAAACAGTATTGGTGGATCCGGCTCGAAGGACCAGTTTTTTAGAATGTTTATAAATGAATCCGCCCTAGTGTATACTGTTTAATATAATTTTATTTATTTCCGAACAATTACATTTAATATTGTCGACCGCGCTGCGTTAGATTGCATTGAGAGCAAAAATGTGACTGACTAAGCTTTGGCTATGCACGTCATTCGATTATGCTAGTCGAAGACGTAAACAAGTTACAGTTAGGAGTTAGAAATGAATGGAAAATTACTGGGCAGAAGCTCGCGCGCATGTGCAGCGATGCGCTGCTCGCTTAGCGACCGCTGATAAGGCCGCCGGCAGCGGCGATCAAAACAAAGAGCGCGAAACCCAATACAGGGTGTCTCGTTCCCAAACAACAATATATAAATAATATACAAATTTGTATATATATATGTCATAATAATATAAAAAATGTAACAATCGATGTCGGGGCCTGGTCAGCTGGTGTCCCAATTTCCCATAAAAGAAAAGTAGATAAATAATTGGTTGACTTGGAGATGGAGCTCGATTCGTCTTCTTGTTTCGGGGTTTTATTTGGAGTAAAGTTATTACACAACAAGAAAGGAAGCCAACTTCGGCACGCCGAAGTTTGTATACCCTTGCAGATTGGTTTTGATGTTTATATTATAGATTTAAATGCTGAAAACAATCACAAAACAGAGTTTCATTACATTTTACCAATACTTATTATGTTTACAGTTTGACAGTTACAGTTTTACATTCCCAGCTTTATATATTTTATACATTTACCGATCGCTTCTATGGCAGCTATAAGATATAGCTGTTCGATTTTAATAAATTTATACCAAAATTCTAGAAAAATAAAAAAAGCTTATATCTTAGAGTTAATAAAAATGCGTTGAAAAACAATAAAGCTATAATTTTATTTCTATTAATTTCCCGATCGTTCCTATGGCAGCTATATCATATTGTCGTCCGATTTTCATAAAATTTTTACCAAAATTCTGAAATTATATAAAATGGCCATATCTAAAAAATGGTGCAAAAATGTTGAAAAACAGCAAAGTTATAATTTTTTTTCTAAAAATATATCGAGCATTTGTATGGCAGCTATATGATATAGTCGTCCGATCCGGCCCGTTCCGACATATATAGCAGTGAGAGAATATAGAAGACAATATGCAAAGTTTCATTCAGATAGCTTCAAAACTGAGGGACTAGTTTGCGTAGAAACAGACAGACGGACAGACGGACATGGCTAGATCGACTCGGCTGTTGATGCTGATCAAGAATATATATACTTTATAGGGTCGGAAACGTCTCCTTCACTGCGTTGCAAACTTCTGACTGAAATTATAATACCCTGCAAGGCTATAAAAATTATGGCGACTTCGTGCCCGCCTCGGAACCGTGTAAGAGCTACATTTCGTATATAGTGATATTGCTGACCCCCCTTTGTTCAGCATGAAAATTCTCCCCCCTCGCAAGAGGAATACTTTTAATCTACGAGAGGGAGCAACGTCCGGAAAGGATCCATCCCAGCGTCGTGTTCTGTGCCATCGGCAAACCGTCCTGACCCGCGAGGATACTCCGTAGCATCAGGTTAGCATATACATCGGCCTCAAGCACAACCGACACTAGAGATGGGTAGAACCATCGGTCATCCGCCAAAGTTACATTCTGATTGGTTGCCAAATCCCGTGATGGCCTTAACATAGGATATGTGGATGCGACTCACAGGACAGCACGGATCCATCAAGGCTCGGACATCAAAACGCTTATAGTCGGATCCGATTAGCACGGACGCGGTCGGGCAGATGCTAACATTCGTGCGAGCCAGGATAGGCGTGCACGACGGGCCCGTAGATGTGCTGCGGGATGGCGATACAGATCGGATGAAGACGCCTGCTGTGGCTGACTCTGAGGCCGAGGAGCCGAAAGTGGCTAGCGCTTTGGCGAGGTCGCGAAGAGCGCGGCTGCCCAGTGTGGATGTGCAGAAGCGTGTGGTGAGGCTCCTTGCAGATGTGACACCTGGCTGTACTGCGACATGAGGGAATGCTCGTGGGCCAGACAGTTTGCGCAGTACTTGTTGATCAGCACTGCGCGGAGCCGCTTCACAGCAGGCAGTTAAAGAAAACGCTGGCAACTCCCCAGTGCGTGGACTCCCCTGCAGACTCGACATCTGTACACATGGCTTCCTGATGAGCGACGAGCATTTTGATGGGTCGTTGGAGACATTGTATATGCGGAATATGAAAATGAAGTATTATGGATGATCAAGACACGTGGACGGAAAAACGACGTTGGATGACACAAGGACTTAGGACTAGTAAATTACACTTGGAAAGACTACGGTCACTGGGGCCGTCCATTGGGAGAAGAACCATCTTCGCCACTGGTCGTTGGATGACGCCTCGTGATGTGAGAGCGTCTGCTACTCTGACCTTGCCGTCTACGCCAGGACAGCCCAATTTGATACGCCCAAGCCGCCATTCTTTGGATGGCAAGCTCTTTTCTTTGATCACAACCACGTATCCCGCCTGGAGATTTCGCGATGGTAATTTCCATTTTCTCCTTTTGTGGAGCTCTTTCAGATATTCCTCCTTCCAACGCACACAGAACTGTTGATGCAGGGCCTTTAATCTGTGCCACCAATTGATTACGGAAATAGGATTTTTTTCAATCACAGGCTCAGATACCGCAAGAAGTGGCCCACCGATTAGAAAATACCCGGGGCTAAGAGCCACAAGGTCAGTGGGATCTTCGGACATTGGCGAAATAGGTCTGGAGTTTAAACAGGCCTCAATTTTCGCAGGGAGGGTAGCAAGTTCTTCGAAGGTAAACTTTCCTGCGGCTGTATGCTTGTAGAGATGAGACTTAAAGCTTCTCACACCCGCCTCCCATAGCCCTCCAATATGAGGTGCGCCAGGAGGGTTGAAATGTCAGGCCAAGATCTGAAGACTATGTTTGGAGAGAATCATTGTCCTTGTCGATTCCATGAAGAATCTGGATAAGGACGTTAAGGTTCTGACAAACGTTTTCCCGTTGTCAGAGTAGACGTGTTGTGGACACCCACGGCGAGCGGAAAAACGGGAGAAAGCGACATAACTCTTGATTTCAAATGGTCCCGCGAAATCCATGTCCGTATGAATGAATGGCCTGGAGAAAGTGGATCTCGGACGGTGCAAATTCCCAATCAACTACTTCTGCAGGTTCTTCTTGTGGATGATCCAAACTCGTCACGAGTGAATTGCTTGTTTCACCAACCTTTGAAGCTTACGAATCCAGAATTTCCAACGGATTAGTCGCACCATTAACTGATTCCCCCCATGCAAGAATATACGATGGGTAAACAGGACATGTAGTTTCGCGAACCTACACCGCACTGGGATGATGATAGGAGGTCGCTTGCCCTCAAGACCCCTTTCTGTCGAGAAAGGGATATAGTTCCGAAATTGTGGAATTTTCAGCTTGTTGTTAAAGGCCTTATATTCGACGAAAAACGTAAGTTAGAACCCGCAAAGCCCTGTCGAAGGTTGAAAAACGCTCCAGGATATCAACTGCTCGGTTTCCGGACGAAACAATAATTCTCTCAGATTCTGCTCCTGCTTGAGTGGCAACCAAGCCGGTCCGTTCCACCAAAGTGTGCTGTCCTTAAGCTCTTGGGGTGAGACGCCCCAGATTAGCTGGATTGTACATGTCCCTATTTGCTTTTCTTGGTCCGTTGTTCGATCTTTGCGACCTTGTTGGCCACGAATGTCGTCCAGGTGCATGCTGGCATACCTAGCCATGCAAAACTATCGCAGAGTCGGTCCAGTAAAAATCTCATAAACATTAGGAGGCAATTCGGAAATTACTGATGCTGCTAGTTCAGTGAGCAGCACCGCAATTCCAAGCGGGGTATGGATATGGACCTGACTGGTCTGACAGCAAATGGGCACAACAGCCGTCAGTCGTTTCGACTCGGACGAAAATGGCAGTCCCATACAATTTGGCCCAATTTGGCTGTTGGATGAACAGGCACCTATCTCGGAATCCGAATTTCCCTCAGGGTTGGATACCCGTTTAAGAACTCTTGCCACTTGGTTACGAGGTCGGTGGGGAGTGGCTGATCCCAGGCCAGCTTGCGTAGCCAAATTTCCCGCATGAAAATCTTGGCTTCGATTACGAAAAGCGATAACCATCCTGCCGGGTCGAAAAGCTTGGCTATCTGAGATAAAACCTCTCGTTGGGTGTAGGCAGTTTGCAGGGGATTCCCCATCGGAATAAAAAATAAAACTATCATATGTAGCTTGCCAACGGATCCCAAGAGTTTTTGCGGTGCTGACATATTCCAGCTCAAGGAAGTCTGCACTAACCAAGTATTCCTTTGGTATCTCTAGTAGGAGTCTCATTTTGTTTAAGGTCCACTTGCGCAGTGGAAAGCCGGCACTCTCGAGAGCCCGCCGAAGCTCTTTAATGGCTAAAACTGCCAACTGCTGAGTGTGAGCCCCTGCGAGCACATTGTCGACGTACATAAAGTATGAGATTGTGACGGTCTGTCTGTTCTCGGGTAGCTCGCGGGTCGTCCAGGGTCCGTTTCAGGAATTAATTTGGTTCAGGTGTGGTTGCTGTAAGTGATTCCGACCCAGTCGATTCTCAATAGGGAATATGCCGATAGTTCCGACAAAAGATGGGTTATTTGGACCCAAAAGCGAATGCGATCGGACTCGAAAGTCATTCACGAGAGAATGCGTTCGAACTTGAAAGTCATCCACGGGAGAATGCGTTTGGACTCGAAAGTGTGCTCAGAGAAGTTATTGTTGGACTCGAAAGTCAACTCAAGAGGAAGAAGAAGACTCCGGAGGGTCACTATCCGGGAGCTGCCCACCCGGCATATATAAAATAAACAAATATTAAATATACCCCCTTTCTATC